GAAGCAATCCACCCGATCTAGACAACTTCTTGCAAAGAGCGGAGGAAGAACGACAGACGGCGAAATACAGAACATGCCACCAACAGCATATCGACTCCTACCAGTACAATCAGCGTCGTACTGAAGCACATTGTCAGCCTGGTGACAAAGTATGGACATGGACCCCAGTGCATCGCACCGGACTCTCTTAAAATCTTCTTAGCTGATACTTCAGGCCTTACGAAATACTCTGCGTGTAAGTGATGTGACTTGCCAAGCCAAATCCGCTTTACACGGGAGCCCAAGACGCTGCAAACCTACAGAGGTGGTACATGTAGTTCGGATGAAGCCTTACTATGAAATATCATCGAAAAACGAGTGACGCCTACCAGGAATCCATTCATTGCCTCACGCGTCAAGACGATGCATATGAGAAGCGGATTATGCCACAGCTCCTTGCCTGCATTAAAACAACGCATCCATCACCGCGCGCACAGGGACATACACGTTCGTTGTGTTGTGCTGTGCAGAGACGATAACGGCACAAACACCCAGCTCAACCTGGCTTATATGTGCCACGCACTCGGGAGATCTCGCGCAAACAAGGAAGAAGTGGCTGAAGGTCATCTTTGATGTTCGACTGACGTGTAGTTCTACGACCAGAGTCACTGAGTTGTGAGCACAGGTTTGCTCTTTTAATAAATACATTTTCTTATACCCCCGAGTCCTTCAACATCGCTAAAATATGATTACAAGAAACGCCATAGTAGACGGCTCCGGGAATTTTGACTATCTGGTGTTCTTTAACGTGCACTCACATCGCACAGTAAACGAGCCTTTACCATTTCTCCTCCACGAAACAAACCCGCGACCTTCAGGTCAGCAGCCAAGCACGTTCTCCACTGCACCACTGCAGCAGACAACATTCAAGTACAAAGTCCTGCAAGCTAAGCCAAGCCACGGCTTTATTAATTAGCCCATTCCTTAGCCCACATGCCATACAACGCTATTGGTGGTATGCTGAATTGCTAAAGTAGGAGGAACTTTCCTGCAAGCGCAACGCTACTTTTTCTAGAAACTTGTTTTGGTTTTTGTCACAAAATGCACAAATCATGCGCCATCACTTCATAAGTCAGCGTGAATTTAAAATTTCACCAGCCATGACAAATCTTACCAAAAATTAAGCTTGTGCGAATGGTAAATATTTTGTTCGAAGGAAATTCAAGGCGCATATTGATTTTGGTTGAATAATTTCAAATCGAATTTGAATGGTATATATGACATATAAAAAAATGGGCATATTTATCATGACCAAACTAACCTGCACAATATTTTTTTAATTGAAATAGAACCTCTATGCAATGCATTCTTTTTTCATTCAAAGGAAGTCGAAACAACTTTGAGTAGTAGCAGGATTTGACTTTTAGTAGAATGCGGAAGATAACCTGTGAATTACATAACATTTTAAAATTTATTATACATACAGCATACAAGCTGTCATAACAAGCTTTCAAGCTTAATAAAATGAGGAATTGATCTGAGGGTAATGGGTTAACTTAAACAGATCCTGCAACACATGTTCAAGTAACCATGGAATGAATTCACTAAAGATGCTTCTTGCCTCACGAATTCACCGCCACAAACATTATTAGAAACTGTCCAGTACAAGCGAACTTGCAAAGATTTGTTGCATGCTGCAGTTGCATTCTTTCTTCCCATCCCGAGGAAGGCTCTGAGGGGGGGGGGGGAGATCACGTGTGTTTCATGACCTTCGGCACTTTAGCGTAGCATGTAGCATGCAGCATTAGCGTAGCGTGTAGTCAAGTTTTACATGACACGCATGTCATGATATCATGTTTACACGTGTCATTTACTTTTGTCGTCTATTCACGTCACGTAATACCAAATTTCATATATTTGGAACTAGCGAAACGGCCACGAGCACGCTATGAGCGTAGCATGTAGTCAAGCTTAACATGACAAGCATATCATGATTATCATGTTTGGACATGTCATTTACCTTCGCCGTCTATTCACGTCATGTGATACCAAATTTGAAATATCTGTAGCTAGTGATACAGCCAGGAGCGCATCATGAGCGGGGTATGTTTTCATGTTCTTACATGACAAGCGTGTCATGATTATCATGTTTGCAGCAGTCATATACTTTCGTCATCCATTGACGTCACGTAACACCGAATTTTGTATATGTAGAGCTAGCAAAACGGCCATCAGCGCATCATGAAGGGCCCTATATACTCCGAGGTAATTGAGACGCGCACGCTAAGCGCAGCGACGCTACGCTAGCAAAATGCGAGCACTCTATAGTCTGACTCCAGGCGAACCAGGCGCGATCAGTGTCCGTCGGCGCAGCCCAGCGACAACCGCCGCGAAATGCGACATGCTGCATTTAGCGCCAATGACATCACCCCAACTCTACTGCATCTGCCTCTCTTCGTGACGGAGGGATGTCAGGCGTGCTCAAACGCGCACGCGTCAAAGCAACGCAGCGCGGCACGCGCCTGCGAGTATATGGCAAACAGATCGGCGCCTGGCGTGGCATCGCCGGCGTCATGCGACGAAATTAACGCCAGCGCGCATGCACACCAGGTCACGTCGAAGTGGATTGGCGCCTTGAGTGTGGCAAGTAGTCATGTTCTTACATGAAACGATTCACGTGATTATTATGTTTGCACCAGTCACATACCTTCTTTATTCATTTACATGACGCAATACCAAATTTACCTTATGTGAGGCTAGCGAAACTACTGCAAGCGCAGCATAAGTGTGGCATGTAGACATGATGTTATGTGACATGCATGTCATGATTTTCATGCTTGCACCTGTCATTCACCTATGTTGTCCGTTTGCATCACCTAATACCAAACTTGGTATATGTGAAGCTAGCGACACAGCCACGAGCATATCATGGGCATGGCACGTAGTCATGTTTTTACATGACGCGCATCTGATGATTATTATGGTCGCACCAGTCACACACCTTCGTCATCTATTTACGTCCCATAATACCAAATTTGGTGTATGTGAAATTAGCGAAACCGCCGCGAGCGCATCATGAGCATACATGTAGTCATGTTTTATATGACACGCATCTCATGATTGTCATGTTTGCGTTGATTCACATACCTTCGTCATCCATTCACGTCCTGTAATACCAAATTTGGTATATGCGAAGCTTACGGAACGTCCTCAAGCGCATCATGAGTGCGGCATGTCATGTCGTTACATGACACGCACGTCATGATTTTCCTGATAGGGTCAGTCGCTTACGTTTGCCATGCAGTCATGTGATACCATACCAGTTTTGCAACATGTCACGTGAACGAAACCACCGCAAGAGCAGCAAGACTATGAAATGTATATCATGACATTCATGACATACATATCTTGATTGTCATGCTATGACTAGTCAATTATGCTTGTCATACAGTCATTTTATGCCATAACAATTTTGGTATCGATACCATCATCGAAACAACCAGGAGAGCTAAAAGCCGTAGGCGGCTAGATACATAGATAGATACGCTCAAAGTCGTCGAAGTTTGCGAAGAAATACTTCTTTGTGAAAATTGCTTTATTATATGCCACACAACTCTTCAATTGAGCTATCAGCAGCATTCCTGGAACGTAAGACGTCCTCCAGTGAATTGCCGCCACATTTCACGCTACCGATTGGACCAGATATTCTGAGCGCCTGCGCAGCGCGTTTCGCCGTTAAACAGACTTGCACTACAGAAGTTGCGTTGAAACCAAACATAGGATCGTGGATTTTAGGAGGCACGTGCAACCACTGTTTATTCAGTATAATAAGTATGTGATTGTGACTTTGCTGACCGCAACATCAAGATGCACATGATGCACATGACATGCTGGCGTGGCTATTGCTGGTGAAAGACGCTTCCAAATCCAACATTGACGCAGTTTGGCGCTATTTCCGTTGATATTATCAGAATGGTGCAGTAAATCTGATTTGGCGCACCTTGGCGCATTTCACGCAAAAGTGGGATCACTGCATTTAATGATACTTTGAGCGGTGTCACTTTTTTACCTATGTATCTTGGACAAGCGATTTAGAGCAAATTATCTGTAACATAGTTTGAAACTAATACAGTCAAGCACACATACGTTGAACTCTCAAAAAAGTGGCAATTAGTTCGATGTATCACAGCATTCAACATAAAAATTTAATAGCATTTACCATATATACAGTGCAAATTTGGGTTGCAAGTTGGCTTCACGACAACACACAAACATTTCTAAATATTATTTATTATTTTTGCATGATTTGCATTTGAAGGTGCGAGTTATACACTAGAAAATCAGTATAGCAGTGCCTGAACATCTGAATATACATCCATGTGGAATTGCTGGGAGCTGAAAACCTTTGTATACTCTGGCACTAATGTTGGCTGATGTACACAGCAGCGACATCACACTTGTTTTCAACACATTTGGCTGTGTTTACTTTTGACAGCTTTGTGGAGAAAAACACGTTTTTCGCTTCGCTTGCAGGTTTTTCTGTTCCTTCGACAAGTGTCGAGAATCACTTTAAAGTTATGCAGTGAACTGTGCACTGAGAACAAGCACAGGAAAATATCAGGGGATATTTGAACTTTCTGAACACTCACTACTGCATGTGCTGCTTGTACTGAAGTGCTAGCTGATTATTATTAACTTAAATGACCATACTCGTAAATAACAAGCCAAGTGTTTCCAACTGTATAAATAAGGAACACACTTTTTTTTGTATTCTGTTAGCTCTCGACCCTGTCTCCGGACAACAACAGACATTCGCCGCACCAGGGGACATACTCTTAATTATCCATGCTTTCGTGAGGCCTTTTGGAGCACTGAGACGTCAGTACTCAGCATATTTCTGGTGGCTGAATCCCATGCACGAAGTGTGACAGTCTTATCTCCAGCTTTGAATTACTCTTAGGTTTAATGCTAATTCTCCCTCTTCATCAACAGTCTACATCGAATGCCACAGTCACCCTCACCTTCACCAAGGCGCCAAACACGTTCTGCTTCTCCCATGGCAACCAGCCCTCCTGAAGACCAAGCAGCGCTCGTTGAGGTGGCCGAAGCATGGTCTCGTTGGCTGCAGCAGCATTAGTGGCACCCTTTCGCCGGAAGACGAGGTCAATGTCATGGTCTCCAACCAAGGTGGCATTTCTCATGTACTGCTCAATCAGCTGGGACTTGCGTTTGCGAAAGCCTTTCAGGGTTACCAATCCTGTTTCATAAGACAGGTGCCAACATTGAAGACAGAATTCCCTGTGTAAGTCACAAGACAACAGCTGTAACTTTAAAAGGCAGTAGACAACAAATCCAGGCTCCGGAGGGCAACATTAGGAAAATGTAAATGGCAGTAGTACAATCAGCATTTTTGAAGAGCAACCAAACTAGCTGCTATATTTTTGAATGCTAAGACAAAGTGTTAGACCTCAAGCACGGTACTGTATAAAGCACTCATGGTCTACTGTCATAAAAATGATCAGATGCTTGCCATAGCATATGCATTACCGATCTTGCCTACCCCACCTTGCAAGATCTGACTTCACCGTACCTGCCTGTGTATTAGACTATATGTTGGTTACACAGACAAAACAATGGAACATTTTTGCTGCCCAGAGGATATTTGTATAAGGTGCTACACTACAGTGATGCACACATGTGGTAGCTAGCTCACTGTACACAACTTCTGATGACTTACAGAAAGTGTGACACAACTTCTTTTACTAAGAGCGAATATACAAGAGAAGAGTTTTCAGTAGTGATACTCTGTTAGGAACTCCAATCCCCATACTGCCATTTGTTCAAAGCTGAGCGATTTCCAAGGAGGCCACAAAGCCTACTTCACATCATCCAAAGCTCTAGTGCAAAGTGTTTCGAAGAAAATTATACTTACCAACAGAATGCAAAATGCATAATTGTTTAGAAAGTATTTTTAATTTCATCAATCTGAAGAAAAAGCAACCTGAGGTGCTATTCACAGCATCCACTCTGTGAAGAATGCAATGAGGTCAAGTGATTCCCATTGTTTCATGTGTTCGATTTCCCATGTGTTCTGGCACTTTGAGTCATCCAGATATGGCCACCAAGACTATAACTCCTATTTTCACCCTAAGCTTCAGTAGTGAACCACAGTATGCAATAAGTTGAGCTTGCATCAACGTTCCGGCCTCTTTAATGCTGATGGTTCAGCAGTGGCTGTCACTTGCCTAAGAACACAAATGTGAGACAGCATACTTGAATGTCAGTGTCCATTGTTCTGGGTTAATGGCTAATTACAACTGATGCTTCTGCGATTCGTCACGGCAATGTGCACCGACTAGCTTGGCAGCAAGCATGGCAGCGTGGGTGGTCACAATCACAATAATACAGCTGAAAAGCCATTGTTGGTCACTAAAAAGTCTAGCAAGTGAGGAAACTGCCATTTGTTACCAGTTAGCACCCAAAAATCTTCACAGAGCAAGATGTAATGTGTCCAGTACGGTGTACAACTGCCGCACAAATACCATATTTACTCGGGTAATGTACCCCCCTTTTTTTCAGGAATGTTGACATCAGTTTGAGGGCAGAATTCATTAGGCAGAAGAAAAAAGGCATGAGAGTTATACAGTCAAGCCCACTTATAGCGAACCTGAGCATGACGCGGCATCCGTTCGCTGTATCCTGAAGTTCGTAGTAAATGAAACACAGCTTTTAAAAAAGTTGCAAGTGAAAACACAAACTTTTTTGCCCCAAAAAGTCCGGGATGCACGTGTTTCGAAGAGCAAAAACGATAAGGGCGGTCTCGAGTTCATTTAAAACGGCATTAAAACGGCAGGCTGCTCCTTCGCCGAGGCCCGTGGCATAAGCTGCATGAGGCGCTGGCTCCAAAGCTTCGTCGTTTTCGCAATCCGATTGCTCCAAATCGCTCTCGCCACGTACTTCATTCACAATTCCCCCATCCGTGCATGGTTCCACAGTGTCGGCATCATCATCGGCCGTGATTAAATCATCGCAACAGATATCCCACCCGCTCTCCCATGTCGGAGTCAACGACGGGCTGCCACAAATCGCCGCCTTAGTGGTCCTGTTCGGAAGCTTCAGGCTCGGCATCGGGCCCAACGATCGACGAAGTCGGCCTCGCGAAAATAGGTTCGCGCACATGTAGCTGTCACCACCGCCCACGAAATATTCACCATATCCACGGCTGAATACCGAGAAGCCCGAAGCAACAAGTTGGCTGCCAGGTGGTCAACAGCTATGAGCAAGCGCTCCGCAACGCAGCACCTAAAATGCGGATTACGCTCAAGCGAAGCAGTCACACTTTTGACGTTTTATTGAGCGGCCCGAAAAAGCGTGCTAGTCCTCCCGTTGGCCATCATGACCAAACAAGCACACCAAGAGCGAGCAAGACGCACACACGCGTGGAACAGCTCTGGGTGCATTTCCAGCCGGAAAACAAAACTAATTCAAGCCAGCGTGGCGGGTGTCGCAGAGCGGTGGAGTTGGGCGAAGGGGTTCTGATCAAGAGAGGAGAGCAGACTTACGAGATAAGGGCAAGGAGTTGCGATAAAGCACAGAGGAATGAAAGGCTCTTTCCTCCATGCGATAAAAAGAGGGGAGAATGCGGGGGGAGGGCGACCTTGAAAACCAAAACTCACGGGAAGGAGGCAGGTTAAGTAGCTTGCTTGAAAGGTTCGCGAAACTCGCACGTAGAAAAATTTGAAAAGAGTGCCAGCGCCCGCTGAAGTCAAAGCATGGCCGCCTCGTTCGGTGCACGCGGCGGCATTCGAAGAATCAGCGGCCGTGATCAAAAATCGTTTTGTTGTGCCGGCGGGTTTGCGTGGCTTCACGAACTTCGATATTTCGTGACTCATTCCGCGCAAATTAACAGCTGTTTTTGCACTTCTGCACACGCGCGGAAGGAGCCGAGTGCAAAGTGAGCGAGAACAAGTCCTAAACACGAAACGAATCGCAAATTATCAGAGTCGCTGGGGTAGTGTACGCGCGTGCACTAGACGCAGACTATCGAATACAGTCGGTGGCCGACGATGTTGGCAAATGGTCTAGTCACTCCAGTCCTGTGACGCCAACGACAGTACCAGCGATCAAAAACAGGGTACGTGGCGGACCGGTCTTCGAAAGATAGGTGGCAGTGTGAAAACACAGGCCTCGCCTGGCGATGCGGGGTGCTCAGAGTAGCGGGGGGACAAAGGACGGAGGGGTGCGTTACAAAAAGCGGTCAGGGAGAGCAGAAACTAGAGAGGCGCGGAGGCAGAATCAGCGTTTAACAATAAGAATGTATGGGCACCTCGCCGATGCCCGATCGGTGGTCGAAATTGGTTTCCCGGGAAGTCGGCAGATTGCTGACTCCGTTCGCTGTAACCGGTCAGTGGCGCTCGGAGACGTTCATTGTAAGTGCGATTTTGTGCCATTGAACCAATGTATATTTTGACGGTTACAGCGAGTGGCCAACCCGGATGCACGATCAGATTACTACGAGCGGGCGCACGGTCTACGAGCGCGGCGCGTCATCGGAGTCGGTCTTAGCCCTAACTTCGCTGACAGCGAGACTGCGGGCAGGAACGACGCGCTAGCACACTCGAAACAGCCCGCGGGTTGCTTTGGGTGCGCAGGACACCCTTCGCTCCTTCGGCGCACATGACGACAACGTAGCAATGGACCACTTTTTCCAGTGCGAAGGCAGAACTTTGAAGTTATTGCATGGCAAGGGTAAGCAAAGTAAGTTGACCGACTTCTGGCAATAAATTTTCGTTCTGCTCGCCGTATCACTGTCTTTATGTCTCATACTCACGGCAACGAAAATCTTGCGAAAACGAAATTTTTCGGTTTCCCCGACGATTTCGCTATTGCGGGTTTCGACTGTACCAAACTTGGTATGGCATAACATGACTGAATAAAGAACATATTTGACTAGTCATAACATGAAAATCATGACATGTATGTCACGAATGTCATGATTTACATTTTATGGTCCTGCAGCTCTTGCGGTGGTTTCGTTCACATGGCATGTTGCAAAACTGGTATGGTATGACGAGATTGCAAGGCGAACACAAGCGAGAGACCCTAACATGAAAATCATGACAAGCGTGTCATGTAACAACATGACTACATGCCACGCTAATGATGCACTCGCGGTCGTTTTGATAGCGTCACATATACCCAATTTGGTATTACGGTATGTGAATGTATGACGAAGGTATGTGACTGGTGCAAACATGATAGTCATGAGAAGCCGTGTCATGTAACAACATGACTACATGCCACGCTTATGATGCGCTGGCGGCTATTTCGCTAGCTTCACTTATACCAAATTCGGTAATTACGAGACGTGAATGGATGACGAAGGTATGATACAGGTGCAAGCATGATAAACATGAGATGCGTGTCATGTAACAACATGACTACATCACACACTAATGATGCGCTCACAGCCGTTTCGCTAGTTTCACATATGCCAAATTTGGTATTACGGTAACGCCAATCGATGACAAATGTATGTGACTGGTGCAAACATGGTAATCATATGAGATGCGTGTCATGTGAGAACATGACTACATGCCACAGCCAAGGTGCAATACATTTCGACATGACGCGGTGCACGTGCTCGCGGCGTTCACTTTGTCGCGTTACGCTGACAGGCGCTGGTCGTGTCAAATACTCGCAGGCGCATGCCGCTCTCCGTGGCTATAATGCATGCGCGTTTCAGCGCGTCCGGCATCCCTCCATCACAGAAAAAGGGAGGTGCAGTGTTGTCGGGGTAACGCATCAGCGCGAAATGCAGCATGTCACATTTCACCCCGGTTGCCGTCGGGCCACGCCGACGGACGCTGGTAGCACATGGCGTTAGACTATAGAGTGCTCGCATTTTGCTAACGTAGCGTCTCTGTGTCCAGCGTGCGCGCGCTTCAACGCTACATTCGATTATATTGGGCCCTTCATGGTGCGCTCGCGGCCGCTTTGATAGCTCCACATACACCAAATTTGGTGTTTCGTGACATCAATGGATGATGATATATATGACTGGTGCAATGCATGATAATGCTGACATGCGTGTCATGTAAGAACATGACAACATACCATGCTCATAGCGTGCTCGCGGCCGTTTCACTAGCTCCACATATACTAAATTTAGTATAACGTGACGTGAATTGATGATGAAGGTAAACGACACATTCAAACAAGATAATCGTGACACCGAAGTCATGTACAGCATCATTTACCTCGACCTCGTATAGTTGTGCTGATATTAAAGTGAATTATCAACATTTCTTATTCGTGCTTCGCATATCATCGATTCCCACTGTACGTGGAATCTGCCAATTTTTTGCCTTGTTCTCGTGCCGCTGTGCTTGTGTGCCGCTATAAGCAAAGAGGTTTCTCCTGCATTCAACAGACCGCACTCTTCTGCAAAAAGAGCAACTTTTAAATCTATACTGACGTCGTCCACGTTCGCGCTGTTCGCAACTGCTTAGCATGGTTGTGAAGCTATGCTTTGACTTTTATTGTGTCGTTATTTTGAGATACAATGGCTTGAATTAAGGTTGTTTCGATTGTCAACAGCACTGGCTATCACACCAAAATAAAATGAACAGATACATTTTTTTTTCTTTTTTCAAGGACCAAGGTGGGGGGATGCGTTCATTACTCAAGTAAATACGGTATGTCATTCACGTAACTTCTAGCTTTTACCGAACTTCTTTAACGGTCTCCAAGTTTAAGCTAATAAAGATTAGGAGCATACGCAAATTACCAATAGTTCGCAATATACTGAAGCCCTAATTTAGATGAAAACAGAATTTGGGGGTAATAAACATTTTGCATTGAATTACTGCAGTCTGCTACTATAAGCGTGTACTGTATTACTGCGATGTGCTTCCACTGTCTTTGCGGAAACTTGGATGCAGAGATCTGCATACTCATAACGCAAAAGACAGAAGGTTGAGGAATGCTTATGAAGATGTGGAACAAGATGAGACAAAAATAAGAAAAAACTTTTAGGGCAAACGGCAGTTGGCGAGCTTATACAGTCAAATCCACATCTAACGATCCCAGCTATAACAATGTATCGATTATAGTAACCATATTTTGGCGCAATTACAATTTCGCTATGCTACTCACTGACAGTGCGTCCACATATAGCAAACATTTTTCAAAGCCACCCACTTTTACAAGAAACACTGCCAACACGGTAGCTGTTAAAATTATAACATTTATAAACCAAGAAAAAAAGTTAGAAAAGGTATTCTAAAACATGATGCTTGTGTATGCCTAGCAGCAGTTCACTCACGACAAAAATTATGTGAACCGTGAGGAGCCCTGCACACGAATTTCAGATGCTATGAGTGAGGTCACTCAACTTCCGGGCATTTTTTCACTAGCGAAATGGCAGTGAGGAAAAAAAAATTATGGAATGGCATCAATTCATAGCAAATGTGGTTTAATTCACTCATGAGCACACAGCGGGTGTCACTTAGCACAAAAAAAGTCCTGACTTGTGACCAGAAGGGTTGATAGCACTTCCTAAATAATAATTGTACTCAGAAAAAAAGGGGTGTTTGGTCGCTAAATGCACATTTTTAAGGGCGAGTCCATATACAATAAACTACTCAAAAAACAACCACTTATCGCGGCATTTTAGAGTTCATTGTAAATTAGTTTAATTGTACCAACAATGTTTAAAATGAATAATGGCTACAAAAAAGCTAATTTTCCTGCCACACGCAACTTTGTAAGAACATCTGTCTTACATATGTTGACAAGTCAGATCCTCTCAGCTTGTATCAGTGATCACCTATTATTGCCCAATCTCTGCCCAGTGCGAGGTCACATCGATACATTAGACTAACCTGTAGAGTACAGAACCCTGGCTTCCACTATCTCGCGCACGAGTTCCCCAGGCAGCATCGAACGTCTCACATCGACGTTCGCGTAGCGATACAACTCCTCGCCATCTGGCAGCAGCTGCGGATCTGGTGGGTACCTGCAGGGGTTGCATTTCACAAGAACTGTAAATGCTTCTAGCTGAAAGCATACTTTATTGGGGTGTGAAAAACCGTGTTTTCCAACAATATAGCCATGCATGTAGCTCTGGCTTTAAGCTAGAATAGGTTCCATTTAATTCAGGGTGGTTTCATTAGGTTATTAAGCTACACAAGTAGCTTGACGGGACTCAACGGCCAGACTATACAGGGCAGTAACAACAGGCAGTCCGGTGCAGTGGCAAACAAACCAACAGTAAAGCAAAATACCATCTCGTAAGTACATTACAGCAGTTTGCATGTCCTTCCAGCATACTTCACTTGGAAAGTTCAGTTGGAAGTAACCAAACACTTTTTCTAAATTCATAAATACTGAAAAAAAATTTCCTGCCTATAAAAGAAAATGGGACGCCATAATACATTTGTGTAAATGGCAGAATAAATGCTGGAAAAATAGTATGACCCATATCATGCTTTGCATATAATTCAATACTTCATATTTTGGCTCAGATTATCACACCTACAGAGATTACAATAAAAAATGCACCTGCCTTCCCCAACCTCCTTTTAAAAAATACATAAAAAGAACATTTGTTACGTGGCATGATATCTATGAGTATTGGATGTTTTGTAGGCTTGCACAAACAGCGAATTTTCGGTTCCAAGCGAATTTGAAGCGAATAGTTATTTTGATCAAATAACTTCAAATCGAATTCAAATAGTATAAATATTGCATCTTATAAAGAAAAAGGGGCATATTTGTGATGATTAAACTAACCAACACAATATTTTTTTTTAAGTTGGAACAGGGCCTGTGCAAATGCAACCCTCTTTTTTTTTTTTTTTCGCATCGAAGGAAGTGGAAACAACTTGAATTGCAGCAGAATTTTACTTTCTAGAATGCAAGTTACAGCCTGTCAAATATGTAGAGTTTTGAAATTTGTTATACTTAAACAAGCTTTCAAAATGAAAAAAAAAAAAAGATAAATAAGAATGGATGTGAGGGTAATATCTTCATGCAACTTTGAAGTGAGGCTTTGTGGCAGTGCAAATTTATTTTGGACAGGCGCTTTTATGGCTTATCACCCCTTCACTGCAGTAAAACCACCTTTATATCATGTTACATGTGGACAAATATGCAAAAATTTGTTTGTTTTTTTCTTCAAATAATTAAACTTTCAATAATTTAGATTCGATTCAAAGAAAATTTGAATACCGCATTATTCATTCAAATATTCAAAGCATTCGAATGTTCACACAAGCCCAAATGTTTGGCATTCTGCAATTAGAGACAGCATTTTGAAATGTCAAGCTTGTGCTTACAGCCCACATTTACTACCTAGCTTAACGTAAGTTACGTGCAATCGTCATCTTGTCAACAAACATATGACAGCGATCAGTACGGGGCTGGTTCCATCGTTAGGCAAACTGAAGTTTTCCTTTTCCAAGTTACCATAAATTTTATTTCATAATTGCACATCAGTGCTTTTTCTAAAGAACTGTACAATGTGGAGATTGCAAGTCAAACTGTACACTAGATATCTACTATATGCATAGATAAGAATAATTGATATGTGGAGTTTAACGCCCCTAAACCACCATATGATTATGAGAGACACTATAGTGGAGGGCTCCGGAAATTTCGACCTCCTGGGCTTCTTTAACATGCACCCAAATCTGAGCACACGGGCCTACAACATTTCCGCCTTCAGCGGAAATGCAGCCGTGACAGCCAGGTTTGATCCCGCGACCTGTGGGTCAGTAGCCGAGTACCTTTGCTACTAAATCACCACGACGAGACATGCATTGATAATCCCTTGTACCAAATTCTGCTTGCTCCTTCCACCCATTTGGTATAATCTTCAGGAGCATCTCATGGGAAATCTCACAACATACCCATAGCAAATGCATGGCAAATGTCAATGGCCAATGGCAAAAACAAGTGTCAATGAATGCAAGAAACAAAAAGCCTTTCCTATTACACAGGAATTGTTCCCGTCACAAAACTAAAACATGTTTAAATCAAAGCAGTTGCAGCAGCATTGGAACTAGCAATCTGTACAATGTTTATGGCAAATAATGCCAGAACAGCAGTTTTCAACAGAAATTCACCACAGTTGACACCAATTGCTAAATCTTTCTCAATTGATATGTGAGGTCTAACATCCCGAAACCACCATACGATTATGAGAGACGCCATAGCGGAGGGCTCCGGAAATTTCGACCACCTGGTCTTCTTTAATGCGTGCCCAAATCTGAGTACACGGACCCACAGCATTTTCGTCTCCTTTGAAAATGCAGCGGCCGCAGCCAGGATTCGATCTGACGACCTGCGGGTCAGCAGCCGAGTACCTTAGCCAGCAGACCACCACGGCGGTAAATTTATGCCAGGCACATCTGTCTGGCTGTGTGGTGTCTTTGGCATCCTGACATATGTGACACACTCAAATTCGCAAGTGCAAGAGATAATTCCCTCTGTCCACCTCAAATGAGTGAAAGTGCAGGTAGTGAGTAAATCCAGCAGTAGTATTGTTAATTGACAACACTGCAAGGAATTAAAATATGAAGTCTTCCCGATGCTTCCACATGTGTAAACTGCTCTGTGAAGGCAACAAGGCATCGCGAACTAACTCGACATTGAAGATCATCCGTAGTGAAACTGCCCTATTATTAGAGAAGCAGACATGCCACATTATGCCATGCCATGGCCTTTGTCATGACAAAATGCTTGACAGTGAGGGTGGCACTGTCCCTGCCAATAGTAAGAAGCACAATCAGTAGGAGAGAGAGAGAAAGGGAGAATATATATGATGCATTTATCCACAGAAGGCTGCCTGCATTCGCGGTGTAGCAATCAGCATACATATCTGGCTTCTGTGCTAGAGAGCCAAGAGGTCAGAGGTTTGGTTACCCGACTGGCTGGTCAAAGTTTTTGTCTTTTTTTCCTGCGTGACCGACCCGTGTACCCTTCTGCTGATGTCATTTCAGTAAAAGGAGTGAGGCAATTGAATTGTTGTGGGACCCTAGCATAATAACATTTTTGTATAACAATGCTTCACTTTGAGAATGCTTCATTCCTGATTGCACCAGTTTGCTGAAAGCTTGAATATAAGCTGGGACTTGCAGGCTATGAAGTATGTGATGTTGTTGAAGGGTTATATAATTATAAAATGGCACCATAAAGTACAGCAAATGAGAATCTCTGAACAAGTGAAAATCTTAAACAGAATTGCTGCTCAAATAGAATAATGGCCTCTTGCATGATCGGTTTCATAATTGAATTCTATAAGCCTGTTCATCTTTTACTAAACAGAACTCTTCTTATATAAACCATGTTAATACTAATCTTAATGCTCCGCTTATTGAAAGTAGACTGTACGACAAAATCACAGAGGATCACATGAAACACCTGGGTGATTGTGTTTTATTTAGTGGAGTCATTTCATAATAATGAATCTCCACCAACTCGCCCAATTGTGAGTCCTATGTAACGTTATAGGCCGTTACACATCCTCTGCAATGCATGCAACAGCAGCAAGGCACTGAATTTACACTTGCCGCAGTTTGTTCATGGCATTCAGTGCTGTCCGATGAGCACGCTGGTCGAGTGTGCATGAGTGCCCAGTCTCTTGCAATAGTACTTTATATGATACATGCTTTCAGAATCCCTGCAAGTGTGCTATTATTGCTAATACAACATAAAATTTAAGTTCTTTACATATGACAAGTCTGCCGTGCACACTCAGTTGCTGTGCCTTTGAGTCCCCAGTTGGTCCATAAGTACTGCTGGCCTGCAAGTCCCCCTCTGAACCACCTGAACCACTCTGCCATCAGCTGGCATGGTCATTGAAACATTTGTACCTTTCAGCACATCTACATAGCTCTGACACCAGCTCTAGCTACCGTGTATCATATGTACATGGGGAACATAGAAAAATGTGCGATTTATAAGGTGAGCTCAACTATCAGGAGACACAAAAATTCCAGGGTGTTAAGTTTTAAAACGATGACTGATTATAAGGCAAGTCATAGAGAGGGATTACAAATTAGTTTTTACAATTAGTGTTTGAAGTTCTCAACACACACCTCAATCAAAAAACAAGGTCCTTTTCGCCCTTCACCTCATTTATCTAAGGGTGGCCACAGTCATGACAAGGAAATAAGCAAACCTGATCGTTCTTGGCAAAGCAACACAAGAGTGGCCTAGTTACTACAGCATCTCATGTCACAGGATGCAAGAGTTGGATGCCGAGTAAAAAAGTATCCATCTGCTGAAGTGAGGCGAAAGATATCATGAAAAATGCGACGACAGATGGACATATGCACGTTCCGACAAGAACATAATATGTGGGTTTAACGTCATTTTGACAAGAACTTCAAAGGGGTTTGTTTCATTTTGTTTTTTTGTTGTGAGGCACAATACGAGTAATACCTTATGTAACTAATCACTCATATGCATTCACTAAAGCTTGCCATATAAACAAATCACTCAGTTGCATTCACTTCAATGCCCTTAATTCACCTCATATCCTCTGGGTATCCCGTGAAGTTGACAGCTTCCTCAGTAACTGCCGATGCTTTTAGTGGTGGTAAGCTCACTTCTGTTGGCAACAATGGTACAGCAGTTGTTAAATTCTCTGCTGGCACATCCACACCAGTTATCAGCGCAAACTTGAACTGCAACAGAGAAAAATAACAGATGGCATGTGCTGACTGGCAACAAGTGAGTACCGACTACTTGTAAAGCAACTTCAGAAGCTACTACGCTCACTTATTGCATCTCTTACTTTCGCTATGCTCGAAACAAACACATACCGTATGCACAAATTAAAGCCATCTGTGATCAGTAATTGTCCTTAGGAAACAATTTGGTACTGTTATCTTAAAATTCAAGAAGTGCAGGCAGGTAAATTGCAAAGCTCTGTTGCTAGGCAACCACAGCCAGAAAAGGCCACAGCTTACTCAACTAGGGAACTAAGTAAGGTAGCTTGTCCATGTTTAACTGTTCGGCATTTATAAACCCATTGGTACATGAATGATGAACGCTACTTTGGTGTGACAAAAGGACACACAAGTCATGTTTTATTGGTAATGAGTAAGCATAAAGGACACGAAGCGGCAATCTGAAACCGAAACTGAAGAGCAGAGGGCAGGTGGCGCGGGGTGCGGAAAAAGAAATAGGAACGAGCTACGATGCAATGCGCAAGAAAAAAAAGAAGCTCGCAACGTGAAGACGAGAAAGCCACGAGGGCTCTGGAGTGCGGTTCGAGACGACGAGCGTCAGCCAGGGTTCCTGAGGCAGGCATGAGACCAGGTCAAGTATGTCCAAGGTCCGGCCCCTGTGGCCTACTTCAAGGTTCAAGGACCTGACCTGCGACGCGGCTCCTGCCTGGGGCAGCGGCCGGAAGCCGGTTCGTGGATGGGGCCTGCCTGGTGCTGCCTTCGTGGACCGTTGGCCGATCATGGTGCTCGTCAGTCGCGGCCCGCTGTGCTGCGTTGGCCACCGAGTGTTCTACAACGGAGCTGCACACGGTAGCACAACCGTGTGTGGCAACTGTGCCTTACCGAGCAACCGTGCACCCTTCGTGCAACTTCTACCATGCCGCGCGACGACTGACACACCACAACAGGATGACAGTGCTCTGAACCGGGAGGCGGTGTTTTCCTCATTTCCACTTACCAGTTCGGAACTCTACGCGCGCGACAGGGTCATGCAGTAATGAAGCCGAACTCTGGACAGTTTACGACTAACCTGCTGCACATGCTTAGCATCACCCTGTAAATATAGTTTGTCTGTTTATCGCTTTCCTATCTCCTCTTCACTAGTGTGCTTCATAAAGTTTTTCTTTCCGTATCTTTAACTCTAAAGCGTACCTACAAATCCTTTCTTGTCCGACAGCAGCAACCCACGTGACGAGCGTCTGTAATCATCACACCTGGATCTATATACAAGGCACCAAATGCCATACATCGTGCTTTATAGATACCAGGATCTTTGGCGGGTCAAGCAGCACAAAGTGGCACAGCTAAGGAACATATCTTGCTATAAGGCGAAATAATATAAACATATGAAGGCAAAATAATGTTCAGGCAGCGCATTGGTACTGCCTGAACACCACTTTAACACAGGTCACAACACTGGCTGGAGTTGTGACCTGTGTTAAATTAATGACAGAAAAATGAATGTCATGCTGCCTTTTTATTGCGATAGCAACTATATGGACAGTCTCGACTGGTTTTTTGTTGTCGCTGCCGCCGCTGCTGTCATTCACCGTATATATACATGTATCTATATAAATAAAAACTCAAGAACCCCCCACCCCTTCCTCTGCGCTCGGTGCCCATCTCGTGGTCTCATTGACAGCCCCGCTCTTTTTGTATTATAAATTAGTTTTTCATTGAAACTATAAGTGTTAGTTTTCCACCAAGAAATGTATGTTTGCTAGGAAATGCTCCATCGAACTCTTCACTATGATCTTACACTACTGTAATAGCTTGTTCAGCTTAGAAGATCAAAAATAGTTATTTCATAGAAACTATAATCAATTCTACAGCCTTTCCTTGCAGAAATCGATCTTAATATTCCCCCTTTTTTCTATATGCACTTTGTCAAGAGAACCCAAAAACTGTAATCCCCATATCTTTATTTCCTAATGTACAGTTAAACCCCTTTATAAAAGGAATGCTCCAGGCAGCAATTCATATCTTATATATGAGACGTCTCTTATAAGCAGAGGACCTCGTATGCATTTTCCTATCCCCCGTATTTTACTGCAAGCATACTAAAGTCTCTTATACCAACATTTGTCTCTTATATCAGTGTCTCTTATAAAGCGGTCTGACTGTATTTCAGCCACCATTTCCACTTTTGCCCTCTCTCCTTTCAAAAGGCAAGTACCACCCCTTTCTCAAATGTTGCCTCTAGGGGCAATCCCCCTTCAACAACGTTTCATCTCTACAGCTAACGTTATTTCGATTTTAAACAGCATCTACCAGGAGCCTTTTAGAATCACCATGATATAATAATAGTCCTACCTCGAAGGACACACTGCCCCTTTGGCCACTGACTGACAGATCCACCCTGGTGGCACTGCTGTTTGGGAAGATCATGACTGTGATGACACTGCTCGGCACGGACACTGCCACTAAACGCACGGCTGCAGTTCTCCTCGTAGTTTCCGTCCGTCAAGGAGCCACCCTCACTCAGGAAGGAGGACAGGTTGAAGTAGGCAAGCGTGTGGCCTGCATGTATGAGGAACACATACAACATGGATGATGTCACACGAGCTCTTCAACACAGAAGGCATTATCCTGGACTACGCTTATTTATTAGCCTTATTATGACATAAATCATAGCACTCCAGTGTGCGGGCTACATCCAGGCCATCTACCAGACTGTAACAAACAAGATTTATGATCCATCCATACAATCCCAGTGGGACTGCATTCAAGACAGTCATCCATGCATGCCTACACATGTAGCAAGTAACATCACTCTTATGCTGCAGGATCGTCTACAGAAAATAAGTGTGCACAAAAAACAAGCAACACAGTTCTTAGCAGTTCTTGCAGAAGTAATTTTGAAGACTTCCAAGGCACAAGCAAGCCATTGGTTGCGAGCAAAAAAACGGAGCAGTACTTTCGCCTGAATTTAACCGAAGTGTCATTAATGAAGAATGAATTGAGCAGCTCCGAACCACCAAAAAGCTTCACACAGGATTCAACTGGCTTCTGGAATCTTGCAGCTAGATATCCAACTAAAATATAGAAAGCCTAGAAGAAACAGCAACAATAGTAATTTCCCAAAGTGAAAAGTTTAACTCCGAATATAAATAAGTAATATACTTGCCTGCCTATTAGCAAACCTATTTCTCATGTTTACATCATTTAGACACTACATGTTCACCCTAACTGTAATGCATTTAAATGCTCCGCACAGGCACATTCTACAGAAACATGCAGCCAAATGAAGTGACAGGTCACTCAATCTCACCTAAAGGGAGGCTGTAATTTCGCTGGTGCCACGATAAGTCCAGGGAATACAACTGTCCATAGTTTGCAGTTCCACAATCGCCGGCATCGAAAGCACATGGCAGTACATTACATGCCTTTGTTGAAGGCAGCAGTGCAACATTAGAGGAAAAAGAAAAAAAGAGAAGCACGATCAACCTAATGGTTAAAAGGTAACGGATCAGCTAGTTTGGAAATCAGAAAGGTCCCCAGAAACATGCAGTGATCAACAGTGGTAAAACGAAAAATGTTACGCGAGTTGACATTCAAACATGAAAACCTGCACAATCAAGCCCTATTGTTAAAGCATTGGATCTAACTAGAGAGATCAGTGTATTTCTACGCCACTGATCATCACCTCACAAAAAGGGAAGATACCGAGTACCAATCACCAGTAATTTCACATCATCTAACAAAGCACGAGAAATCGTTCCCAATACTTTAGTGAGGAGTTCCACAGCTGGCTGTGACTCCCAGTGCCTGAAGATTCTTATTCAAAGCGCATGAATGGCAACATTGTTACTCATAGTCAGGTGCAATGTCCTTCAAGAAGTCACTGAATCAAAGGAAGTATTCTATCACCCACAAAGACATAAAAGTTTCAGTTGTGCAAATGTAAATATTGGCATGCTTGAAGCCTGTCAGACCACATGCACACCACACATGTAGACAGAGACACATACCATGCGAAGCGCCCCGTTCAATAGCGTACAACCTTTTTACATGCTTTTGTGCATGAAAAAGTATGCTTACTCCAAGAGTCACTTGCCGAGAGTGAACTGAAAGTACAATAGTTAACCATTATCACAAAGGAATGACGCGAGCTGGTCAGCTGTACTGTCGTGACAGGCGCCGTGTGCGCACATGACGTCAAGAGCACATGAACATCACGCAGTGACAGGCGTTTGCCCCCAAACCTCACTTTTAAGTATGCAGCGCTACCTACATTAAAATAGTCCCAGCTTTTCTCCTGCAACAGGTGCATGATGTTGCATCTTTATGGTGAAAGCTTCCACAGTGGCAATAACCCATGACTTCAGTCAAGGCTTCATAGAAAACAATTACTGCTGTCAAAACAGCTTCTATTGAAAAAAAAAAAGAAAAATTCAATAATGTACTCCTGTCTGGAGACAACCAGACAATATATATCTAGAGCGTAGTGCAGGTACCTCCAAGGCATAATTAATGCCTGTCTTTAACCAAGTGTTGCTGCATACAGCGATATTAAGACGTTTTTGGGAGAACATTCATAAAGTGCCTCACGAAGCTTGCAGTCTCATATCGACACTGACAAAAATACCAAGATGCACAAAATGAATACAAAAGTGCTTCAGTCCACATCAAAAGAGCAAAAGTTGTGGAATTGGATATTTCTAGGGGTGACTAAATTTGATAACCTTACTCATTTGTTATGGGGTAACGCTCATGTTGCTCTTACACAAAACTGATGTGAACTTTTACTTTTTCCTGGCACTGCTGATTCAGATTATTTTTGACCTGGTAAACACTAGCCACGTATCTTCACCTGTCTATGCATAATTCTCCAGTTTCTTTCTTCTTTTGCTTATTTGGATCATACTTCTTTTATTATACAGTTGAACCCCTTTATAAGAGACACTCATATAAAAAACAAATGTGAATAACAGACACCAGCGTGCCAACACTGAAATAAGCGTTGACAAGAAAATGCATACAAGGCACCATGCTTATAAGTGACATCTCTTATAAAAGACAAGAACTGCTCTCTGGAACATGCCTCTTATAAAGCAGTCGAACTGTACTTGTAAACTAATCATATACATAGTACTAAACAGTTATTATTATGCAAGCCAAACATACTTCGTGATGTATTGTGCAATTGATCATTGAAAATCTAGGTGCAAACTGACATTAATGTGAACACCACCTACAACAGGCTAAAGGCTTGTAAGAGTTTTTTAAAGACGATAGTCTTTCTTGAGGACTTTCGACGCAAAAATTTTGCTCTGTCTATCTGTACATTTGTCTGTTTGTCCACTCCTAATGGCATCGGGTATTTGAAACGACCGACCCCATTCGCAGCACCCACCAATGTTGCTCAAGGTTTAGCAATCGTGCTTGTGCAATTGTCAATTAAAAAGCAATTATCGCGCCTGTCTGGGGCACCATAACAACATGTATATATTCTTCATGTGCATCTTTTACTAGAAAAAGCACACATAAGTAATTTTTGGAACCATAGCGCTTATCACGCTGCGCTGACCATGCAACGCTTGCACGGAAAAGTGAGTGTTTCCAATGCTTTGCTAAAACAAGACGGTGGTGGCATCTACCCGTCGCCTTGCGTTCTACACTTTATAACCTATGAGATGGGCGCGCACACCCGTCTCAGAGCCACGTGCTTCCTTTTCTTAGAAAACTGCCAGATGGCCCTCATGTCTCACGTGTGACGTGACTTGATGCGCTCCTTCGCCTCCGCTGCACGCTCGAGGCACTCTAACGCAGCGCCTCCAGAACACCATTCACCGATTTTTCTTGCGCAGAACATCAAATGAATGTCTTGTTCACTCTCTCCACACGCAAGATTGTCATCTTTGGACGACATTTGCAGATTAAAATGCAGATACGTTGCCAATTTTTTTTGTCTTCTTTTTGTTGAGTCATTATTTTGCATATTCATCCACTAGCTCATCATTCCATTTTGCCCTATTGAATCGCATTTACGCAGATAATTTGCGCACCCCAAATATTTTGCCAGCTTTTAGAAAAAAAGACATTTATTCGCATATTTCGCCCTCCCCGACCCACCCTAGCCAGCTTGAGGGCTCACGCACCTTCGGACCATTCGATGCTTCGGCCGGGTGTGCACCTCCCCAAGCGCACGAGCGCAGTCAAACAGGGTGCGAGTGCAAAGTCCCTTCTTCCGAGGACTTCCCCCGAACTAGGGTTCCTAGAATACCACACCCGAACACAACCCCGTTGACGGGTCACCGGAACTGCTCGAGCATTTGCCTCCCCCTATCTCTCAATCTCTACCACCGAGATAATGGCGGGAATCAATGCTTGCGTCACGGCACGAATCCGAGGCGTGTGAGGGCATGTCGCGCCTAATGTTCCCTTCATTCTCTGTGTATGCGCTGCAACGCACACTTGGTAGACTTCGGAAGTTTAGGTTTCGCCACCCAGCCGACACGTTTTGAAGGGTTCCTAGCAATGTGCCACAGTAATTATATATACGGCAGAATTGAAGCTTGCTGTTGTAAATTTCACCGAAAAAAACGGGAAACATGCCGCCGCAAAGCACTGATTTGATTGATTTGATTGATTTGCAGGGTTTAACGTCCAAAAACCACCATATGATTATGAGAGACGCCGTAGTGGAGGGCTCCGGAAATTTTGACCACCTGGGGTTCTTTAACGTGCACCCAAATCTGAGCACACGGGCCTCGACATTTCCGCCTCCATCGGAAATGCAGCCGCCGCAGCCGGGATTTGAACCCGCGACCTGCGGGTCAGCAGCCGAGTACCTTAGCCGCACCCGACCAGCTCGGCCAAGCGACCACAACCTTGTTGTCATGTGCCAGATGGTCTGCAGCGACACTCCGTAGGCGGGGCACCAAGAATGACAAGCGGTACAGCCGCTGTGGGGACCTGACGTTGCGGTGACCTGACGTTGTGGTGACCGGAAACCATAGGGATCTGACGGTGCAGCGTACGGACGGGACTATCGACGCAACCAGCTTCACAGACGAGACGAGCCGTACGACTCAATGCCGGAGCCAAGCCAAGGCAACGCTCCTTGGACGCTGTAAGTACGACTCTCTAGTCATGTATATATATATGTATATACATAAATAGACCACCGCGGCGGGGCCGCTGCAAAGCACTTCAAGGGGACGTACTTCAACGTGATGACTGGTGCGATTAATACGTGAGAAAGCAGAAGAGTGCATGCTTGCTAATGCAAGCTTCCTGCCATTGAAGGAGGCCTTTTCAATTATGTGCTGATGCTTTTTCTTGCGGTATCGCCGCGTCGTAGGACCAAGTTTTTCCAAGGATTGTTTAAAGAGCTTCTAGAAAATGGGGCGTCCGAACGCGCTCGACGAAACCAAAGACAGTGCACTTCAGGAAAGCGATGGCAGCGGCCGCGGCAATGATTCCCTATCGGACTTCGCGATCAGCGATTCCCGCTAGACCGCGAGTGACCCGATCTGACTGGTTAAAGTACGCACTAGTTCTTTCAAAATTAACAAGTACACTTTGTTTGTGCTGCAATTTATTTCTTCCTTTATTTAAATGTGTATACTGCACACATTAGAACTGTGACACAATAATTCGTATGCACTCACAAAATCCTTGCGTAATTTGTGCACCCCCTTCTCGGGGTCCCAATATCGCAAAAAAACGTGCCCAGATTATGTGAGTAAATACGATAATTCATTCCTGTATAGGTGTTCACGACAAATGGATGTAAAATATGGTTGCTGGCATTTGTGTTTGTCATGCACAGGTCAACTGGTGGTAGAAAAGCGAGAAGAAGAGGAAGAAGAAACGAGAGAAAAGAACAATTTCCATAGAAGAGAAATTAAAAAAGAGAGGAAAATGAGGAAGAAAAGAAAAGCACGAACCACGACGTGGCTGGGACAGACGGAGGCGCGGAGTCTTGGAACGCAGACGTGCGCGTACGAGGGGTCGAAGCAGCATGGTATTTGCCGGAACCCCACGAGCACAGCTTCTAGGAAGAACGCGCCCCAACCTTCGCAGCAATGCCTTGTGAGCTGCGGGGTGCAGCCAGGAGTTCGACCAGCTCGGCCAAGCGACCACAACCTTGTTGTCATGTGCCAGATGGTCTGCAGCAACACCCCGTAGGCGGGGCACCAAGAATGACAAGCGGTACAGCCGCTGTGGGGACCTGACGTTGCGGTGACCTGACGTTGTGGTGACCGGAAACCATGGGGATCTGACGGTGCAGCGTACGGACGGGACTATCGACGCAACCAGCTTCACAGACGAGACGAGCCGTACGACTCAATGCCGGAGCCAAGCCAAGGCAACGCCCCTTGGACGCTGTAAATACGACTCACTAGTCATGTATATATATATGTATATACATAAATAT